AAGCATAATACAAAATCACGAACAAAACTTCCGGTATAATGCCATATTTTCAGGAATTACGCTTAAATTTTCGAGTAAAATATGCGTGACCCTTTTGATATCTCGATGAACACAGCATTCGTATGTTATGAAAAGTCACGACATCAAATATCGAGTGCTCTTGGGTTTGAAGAAGCTGAGTCATGTGATTGTCAGCAGATTACCCGCAGACACAACATTAGGATCTGTTATATCATAACTCGGAACTACCATGGAAGGAAAATTAAACCTAAAACTAAATGTTGTCGATGAAAATGGGTGTGAATTAACCGATGGAAGGTCACTTCTCTATCAGACAACGTACACAGTCAGGTATGTCGAAAAACGGTGGAGTTAGAGCAACTTTCAGAAATTTGAAATTTAATTTCAGATCCATATCCAGTAGTTCAACTTCCGCTTTTTTTGCATTGGTTCATTTTGATGTTAGCTTTAGGAATCGATCCGTAAACTAGTTGGTTCAGAGAAAATTTCGAAGTATCTTTCCCAGGAGGACAATTGTGTAGATGGAATGGATTCTAGTTTACCTCGATCGCTCTCTTTCAAGCCATTCGCCATAAATTAGTTTGCAACTTAATCGTTTACTTATAATAACGTCATTTGCTTATTAAAAATTGTATTAACAAGCCTCAATTGCTAGAATCATTATTCCTGCGTTAAGTTCAGTTGTATTTATTACATGTATTAATTCGCTGCATTAGGAGTTTGTTTTGCTGTTTATCTTAATGTGAATTTACTTGCACATGAAAAAGAAATCTTGTTGTTGGGATTGGTGGGTTAAGTCACTGCTGTTGAGAATCAACCAATCATATTGGAGCATAATGCTTCTTAACGTGATATGTAACCAGTTCACAAGAGGAGCAGTTTGCCATGGAAATAGCGCAATCTCCATTGGAAGAGAATAAATGATGACTGATCTTAGTGAACATACTGTGATGTGTCATTGCTTCAAGATCTCATTAGTAATTCTCCTTACTGTCTCTTATACAGTTCTTATGATGTCAGTAATGAGAATTTGTTACTGGACCAACTAATAATTCCTGAATTGATGTTTTTCTTTATTCTCATCACTAGTCTTCTTGAGGTATACTGATATTGTAAAGAGAAATTCTGTCTTGGTCACACATTGGAGTTAAAGGATTAAAAAATCAAAGCAGAGCATGATTCTTCTTAAGATGATGTGCAACCAGTTCTTCTCATCATGTAATTAAGAGGAGCAGTTTGTCATGGAAATAGCACAGTCCCCATTAGAACTGAATGCATTACAAGACAAACTACCATGACTGATTGCTGAAAACATACTGTGATGCATTATCCATACTTTAACGTGAATTCTTCCTAGGAATCTGGTACATGTTCTTAAGGATAGCAAAAGAGGAGTCCTGATCCAGTCTCACACACAAATGTTTTAGAAAAATTCACATGTCAACCTGAAACAACTCATTTTGAATTTCTAATTTCAGATGGAAAGAAGTTGTGCAGTGGGTGAAGGACAAGCTGTCAATCACTTACTCACTAGCATTTAGTTATTTTG